ATTATAGGGGGGAGAAATAACCTACAGATAATGAGGGTGCGTGTTCATCTGGGCAAAGACCTGATTTCTCTGCCCTGCAGCCTGATTTGTGCCCTAAGTTGATTTGCCTAAGTGGCTTGCCCGCGAGCATTGACCACAAGACTCCCTGATTTATCTACAAATGCAAGCTCCTTTTTTATGCACTTCTGGAATTCATTGCCAAGGAGGTGGCCAAGGCAGAGAGCACGGCCAGGTTCAAAAAGGGACCAGGCAAGTTTCTGGATGACAGGTCTATTAATAGCTGTTGGACAGAACGGCTGGAGATGTTTCCTCTGGCATCTCTAAACCCATCATGGTGGATAATGGATAGTTCACTTTAGAAACATCCAGTTTGATGCTGTCCCTATACAGCATCCATTTCTGCCACTGCCAGAGACAGGATACTGGACTAAATGGACCATTGGTCTGATGCTGCTTATGTTCTTTGCCTGAGTTAGATGTTAATCGTCCATCATGCTGCCTGCCAGGTCGCGCATACCCCAGATGCACTGTTTTTGTACAGAGGCAGAAATGCAAGACCACTCCTGCATATTTACTGGTTTCAACATGTCAGAAAGCAGCTCTGAGATGGAGGAGCTGGGGTGGTCCTTCCCTTGTCCTTTATAAGGAAACGGCACAAGCTGTTGCACAGCCGGGCCCGCTTGCCCATCACTCAGCAGCGCAACAGCAGCTTCCTGGCACGCAAGAGCTAGGGGTCACGTTATGGGAAGGACGTTGCCAGCGTCTCAGCAGGTCGGCTCTCTTGCTGCGTCCACTTCCAAAGCTGCCAGGGACATGCTGCATCCACAACTTGCTCCCAGCAGCCGGGTGAAAGGCGGGTGCTTTACCACCACGTGCAATGGATGAGGCGATTCAGAAAAGCCAGAACCTGGCAGCGGTGATGAAGTCTCCAGGGCAGATGAAGGGGCTACAAACCCAACTGAAACTCCAGAAGCTGACCCTAACCCTATCGCCTTAAGGAACGGCATCTCATTAACAAAAAAAAAAAAAGACTTGAAGTTGAACAGTAATCAGTGCCTTTCAACTCTTGCTGCGTGTGACTTCAGTTTTACCCCACACCTTAAGCTAGTAGAGAGGGGAAAAAAACGTCTAATGAGTATATCTTTACGCTGATTCAAAACACTTTAGATAGATCCTGTCGCACGCTTTATAAGTTCCTGATTGATTGTGTGGAATTAAGTTATTGGGCAGAGAACCAGCTAATGGAAACACATTGATGAAATCATTTTTGAGGGACATTAAATGGAACTTAAAATAAAGCTGAAATGGCTTTATGGATTTTTCACTCAAATTGTTTATGAACATTTATCGCTGCTAAATTACACAGTGTCAAGGAGGTAGTCGGTACATATGGGTTTTAATAGAAGTCTTTCTGAAATAATAATGCAGAAGTGAATAATTTATTACCCAGGGATGTACAGTACATTATGTTTAAACACAGATTATATGATTGTTGTCTGCTAACTCTATCGGGCTGCTCCTAGATGAATTAGGGCAGGCGACAGTAACTAGTCTCAAAAGGTGAGACCAAAAAAAAATCTCTCCTCCCTTTTGCAGTGAAGCAGCCCTTTATGGCGTAAGTTTTTCACAGTGGATGTGAAATGTTTGAATAGCAGATCAATCAGGCTGTGAGAGAGACCATTTATCAGTACATTTCATTTAACATTGCCGTGGCTTAATGCGCAAGGGAAGCGAAGCCTGGCTGAGATGTCCCCGCCTGGGGAAAGAGGCGGGGTGCTGACATGTCTGCATATTTGCAGATTGCGCATTTACATTTGCAACAAAAATCAGCCGCGGTCACCCTTAAAATAAAAAATGAAAACAAGAAGGCTGGACGCAGGACTGGAAGGGGTCGTCCAGTCCCGTTGACTGCCGTCTCCAGCAAACCTGTCATCTGCTGCTACCGTTCATGAACTGCTCAACCTGCATTTTAGACCTTGTTAAACGGCTGCCCTTCCCTCTTCTGCTACACCTAGTTCAGGAGCCACACTCCCCCGAGGGTCAGAAACCAGCTTCTGATTTTCAGCCTGAATGTATTTATGGCCAGATTATACCCGTTTACTCTCGTATCACCATTTTCCTTCAAGATGCATAGTTCTTTTTTCCTTTCCGGTGCTCATCCCTCAGATAGAGACACCAGCCATGTGCCGTCTCACAGTTGGACGCAGTCTTCCTGATGCCGCCCACCAGTGTCTCTTGCAGTGGCACAAATGCTTCCCAAATGCCACTAGAAACATCTTACTATTTTGCCCCGCTGTTTGGGGCCATTCCCAGTCACCGTTAATCGTTTTTCCCATCTACAGCCCAGTCTAGACTGAAGAAACAAGGAAACAGCCAGTTGTCACCAATTAATGATCTGTCTAAGGACAGAGGATTCCTAAGGAGATACAGGATTTTGACCCCCAAGTCATCCATCCACACCTAGCCCTGGCCAGAAACATACCCAACTTTGACCCTGTTTGAGAGTCCACGTGTCCCACGTGAAATGGGTTGGTGATCCCATTCTGGTTCCCGGTGCTCAAATGTCTGGGATGTAAGAAAAGCAGGGCTGACGCTCTCGCAGCGCCGCTCCAAGAGGAGGTCTTCAGCTGAGCCTGCCTGAAATGTCCAAGGATTGGAAGCAAATTGCTCCTCACTCATCAATCGAATAAAGACTGCTTGGAAAACATGGAGTTCGGTCCATCTTCCTCAGCATGTGCCTGGCCATTGCTGGGGGCTCGGAGGAGTGCAGTTGACTTAACATTTTTTTCCAAAAAGAATGAAATCACAAGTCGGAGCCAGAGTCTCCACTCAGCGATGCGAGTGAAAAACAAGCCAGAATATTTATGTGTGCTGTGACAGTCCTCCGAATACTCCCGTCCCTCCCACCCCCAAAATCTTTGTTTTATTATTCAGATATGTGCAGGATGCTGCTTTGGCTAAGTTTCACTGCAGAGCTAATAACCAGTGCAATTGTGTGGGATAAACTAAGACTTAAACGATTTGGAAACAGTTCAGAGAGGACAAATCAGATAATAATAACCTTCATGGTTGGTAAGTCGCAGCTGCTTCTGACAACTTGTAATGATAATGGCTTATAGTTAAGTCAAGAGCTAAGTATCTGTATTGGGCCGTAGGATCAATTTTAATACCCAAAGTATAAAGCTTCAAACTTTAGATTATTCTGTATCATCTTTGAGTTCACTTTGTTTTTCTGGGTTAAAAAGCAGGAGTTTGGGTTTTGGGTGATGGTTTTTTGTAGTGTAAATATTAGAAAGTTTCTATTAATTCCAGCCTTACTGTAACCCAGTGAGTGGCAGCATGGCTCTTACACCAACATAACCCGCATCTCTGTCTTGAAGCCAGTGGGATTTCTCGACTATAAAACTGGCTTAAATGAGAGGAACGTTGTGTCACTACTTCGTTTCTGTGCAAGGGGTAGGGATGACAGCCTTGAAGTTTTGGTAACGTGTTGTGCATCAGCTCTGAAAATTATATGTGTATAACCATGCATTAGTTGTTCAAACCTGAGCGAGTTGGAACAAAGCAATAATAACGCCGCACATGGTTTAAAGACTTAAGTGATAGGTCTCAAAAAGTCATTTGTGTAGTGGCTCCCCTCTGGATCTTTTCTTCAGTGCTCTTGAAAATATAAATAATGGCTGGTAACGTTTGTAAGGTGACGCTAAAATAAGGATAGGTCGGATTCACCATTATCTCTCTTCTCCTACCATGTTGGGCTTCTTTGAACCTCATTGCCTTTTACTAGAGGTAAACATACAGTCAGAAATCTTGGACCAAATAACTTACCTGATGGGCAAGTCTGCACTGGAAAGCAGAGCTCAGAAAAGGCTCACATCTCAGGATCAATACCCTGGCCCTGAACTCCCAGATCGGTTCTTAAAGGAAAGGGGAGTATGTGACACTTAAATGTATATGCAGGTCCATACTGAGTAGGGGTATGAAGGTGGTCTTACCGTGGTATGCATCATGGGTGACTGTGATGGGATTACTGTGGCCAGCAGTGATGTCTGCACCTCCAAAAGGTGGGTGAAAAACTGGGGTGGGTTTGGTTCTCAGTTAAGAGTAATAAAGCAGCGGGACAGATGAATTTCCCAAAGGCTGCGGAGGAGTCTCTGTCACTCTGAGTGGTTACGTCAGGGTGCCGTGTCTTTCCACCACAAGGACCTGGACTTGATGCAGGAGTGACTGGGTGCAGTTCTTTGGCCTCTATTGTTATGCAGGAGGTCAGATGAGATGACCGAAACAGTCCCTTCGGGCCTTGAAACCTAGACATCTGTTAATAATGCCTAGTCAGGGTAAACACCCATTTGACAAAGCTTAAATGTGAGAAAAGTGCTGTCCTTGGCATGATCTACCTGAGAGCCTGGAGCAGTGGCAGGTCATGTTCTGGTCTCACCACAAAACCAGTGGCAGAGCTGGAACTCAGTTCAAGGCCTGCCGCCTTCATCCTGTGTCTTCCCCGTGGGGCAGCACCCCCTCCAACTGGCCACGCAGCAGCTTAGCCTGCATTGCATGCCATTTGGAGTGGCTCCACGAAACCAGGATTGGATTCTCTCCTTGGAGTCCAGCTCAGAAAGAAAACCTGTGAATAAGACACATGCCTCTATCTTAGTTAACAAAGCATGTGTTTGTATGTGGAGGCATTTATCCTTGGCCAAGCGTTCCTATTTTCCAAGCTGGCTGCATTCATTGGAGCAGCAACATTTTTCCATGCCCAGAAGACAGGTCGTGGCCAATGCGAGCACCGTCCCTGTGCAAGGTGCAGTTGAGGCGGCCAGGTTTGCAAATTCAGCTCCACGTCCCAGACCTGGATGCTTCTACGGACTGTGCGGGTGTGTGCAGGGGACATGGGGGTCAGATGAGCTGTAAATATTGCCAAGTGTGATTTGCAAGTCACTCCCCTGCTGATGGTTTGTTCCATCTCCAACTTGTGTTCTGTTTTTGTTTTGTTATTTCAGGAGCAGAAGGCACAGTGTTCCCTAAATCCATAGAAACTCCCAATGTCAGGGCAGACCCCTTCAAGGAACTAAGGTAAACTTTGGACTATGGTTTAAATGTAACTCAGTGGTGCCTTGTTGGAATTCAGCATACTGATTTGTGGTGTTTGCATCTCCGCATGCGCAGGTGGGGAGTTCGCTTTGCAGTACGTGGAGCAGGGGATATGATTCTGCCTTTCAGAGCTGCAACCCTTTCCCCAACATGGTAATTGTGTCTAGTAAAGCTCAAGTGCCACATTCACTGAAACACCACCCACCAAAACCTGTGTTTTGGGGGCACAGGGATCTCAGCTCCAGAGATTCACCACTGCCCTCGTACTAATGCAGAGCTCCACTTACTTCAGAAGATGCGTACTGGCCATGAGCAAGCCACTGGAGGTCTGATATCTAGGATAAAGGGAACAAGCACCTCCTTGAATAGGAGATATTTTGGGTGAGGGGACTTATTTTAACTAACCCTTGCAGCCTCTCCCCATTTCCCCCCAATAGTATCTGCTTACGATACGATGGGTAGGTGGGTAGAGTTGAGAAGGGGCACTTGGCCAACACAGGGTATGCAGGAGGTAACAAAACTCACCGCATTTCCCAACCTGGATCCCATTCGTTTCAGTAACTGAGGTTTCAGATGCAGTGAAAAAGATGGACCCTGCCACTTGTCAGCTAGATGCTTTCCCATGCAGATGATGGGTGAAAGCCCCAAGGTCTGTTATGGACTAAGTAATTTGAATGCCTTCATTCAAGTAGACATGAAGTCAGCTCACTCTGTAGTTAGCCCCTACTCAAAAACTTGTCTCGTCACTAGACCTTTGGTGCCTGACCTTTCTTCCTTGGGGAAGTTCACTGAGGATGTGGTGTGAGCTCAGGAGTTATGTCTACATGCCACAGACTTAGTTCATCCCTCTCAACATGGCCCTGTGTGTATATTTACAGCACTGAGACAGGACATGGGATAAGTAGTTACTGGTAATGGTTTCCACACCGATGCTGGAAGTAGTTATGAACCAACCAGATCACAGGGCAAGTTCAGACGTGGCTTAGTACAGACAGACAAAAAGCCTGAACTGAATCGATTCAGTCTTCACAGGTTAGTCTAAGCTGCATCAATTGAACGGATAAGCGAGTGAACAGACATTCACTTTTGATCCCAGAAATACAGCCACATGCCTGCAGTGGCCCAGACCAGAAGCCGGGAGGTGCTAGAGCGCGCCTCCTGCTCAACTGGAGCAGACAGCTTGGGCCAAGGCCTGCGAAGGGGGGCGGGGTTGGCAGGGGAGGTGCAAAGCATCCTGGGATGCTGAGGGACTGTGAGTAAATTTGAATCTGGAGGGGATCTGGGACAGAAATTCAACAAACCAATTTAACCTGAATCAGTTCAGTCTGATAGTACATCCATCCAGGTTTACCTTAAACCAGTTTTGGCTGTTTTGAAAGTGGTTTATGCGCATTGAACTTCTGTTGGGTTACAGATTTGAACCGATATCCAATCACTTTATACCAGTTAATGCATAACTTCTGTCCTAGCCCTTCTGAGTATCTTTCACCTTTTTTTCCTGTTTCTTGGGAAACATTCCCAGTTGTTTCCATTTTAAAAAATCAGATCACTAATACCAGGGTGTTTTGCTTCAGTTCATTCTAGAAGCCCACTGTACTGCAGTCTGCATTGGCATTCGCCACAGTGCCTCCCTCTTCAGAGAGGGTTGTATTTTCTTAAAATGATGGAGTATATACAGCCCAGATCCAGGGACAGGGTCTCCACTGGCAGAAACCCACCGGGAAGTGATGTGACTGCATGGTTACAGCTTGCTGCATGGTGCTTCTAATTCCTTCAATCCACTGAGCATCAGTTTCCCTGTTTTTCCTTCAAAAAAAGGTGGCAGCTACTGTTGCTACCTATAGGAGAGGAAACCCCCTGCTCCTGTCACCGCTGGGAAGAACATGTGTGTGCCTGCTTCCCTTTGCTTAAGACACGCTGCTTGTCCTCTGGGAAGAAATGTCACTCCATAACATCCGTCTCTCCACCCCCTCCACGTTCCCACCTTGCAACTACCATCCACGGCGTCTGCGTGTCACCAGGAATGATATGTTCCAGGTGATTACACAAGCATCGTTCTCAGCAGACGGTCTGTCGTCTTCTGGCTGATGAATGGTCTTGGTTCATGCAGGCTAGTTCATTTATTAGTCACTGGCTGCTTTACAAGTACATGGTCACCTTTCCGGAGAACAGTAGCTGTTTCGCTGTTGATCACCACCCGCTTCTGGCTGGTCGCCTCGTTTGAATCTTCTCTTCAAATGTCTTTGGCGTGCGGTGACCGAGATGGGGGGGATTCAGGCATCCGTACTTCAGTAGTACGCACCCGAAGCGCCAGGGGCACAGCTGCGGCGTTGAATGTTTCACATAGGGGAGAGCCATATGCTCATCAAGATCGGGTTGCTCTGCGTTTGACCCCGTTTCTGAGCTAGTGTGCTAGTTTTGCCCTGTTTACACAGGCAGGAATGAACTGCTCCTTTGCTGCAGCCAGGCTTGTCGGACAGGGGTCAATATAAATCCAGATCAGGCCAAAACCACGCGTGACTTTGTTGAGCATTTCAAAGATCACAAAGAGTTTCTCTAGTGGAGGCTGGTGAGGGACGGCGCTGGTTAATGCGACATATTCTGTGAAGTGGTGTCTTAAGCACTTAACAAGTCGAACTGGTTGAAAAATGCAAAGCACGTAGCTGTAGATGTTTTCAAACAAACAAGCACAGGCGCTGAACACAGTATGGCCGCGTTAAAATGGTACCGTGCTCCTCTAATTAGCCCGGCTGTGTGCCGGCTGGATATAGCCTGAGAACAGAACGGCTTCTGTAGGAACAGGACCCCACCAAGATACCAGAGGCTAATTAACTGCACAGATGACATGCATGCATTTTCCTGAGGTATAAAAGGGGGGAAATAATAGTTTTTCCTTGATTCCTGAACCTGTCTTCCAGGCCAAACCAGTGAGCTACTGCTTAGGGCATTTTAGCAGTGGAGCAAAGAAAGAAGAAATCATGGAGTGATACAGAGGCCAGCACCTTTCACCGCAAAATATTATAAGGAAGAAAAATGCATTTAGTCGCCAGCACAAGCCAGCCAAACTGGAGTGCCCCTTCTCCCTTTACCAGTCAAGCACAGGAAAAGGGAAATACATTCCCTCAGGCCTGAAGGGATTTATTCTTTGACCAAAGTTAATTATGACCCACTGAAACTACCAAATGGCAGATGAAATGTGCTTACAGTATGATTTTATTAGTACAGTGCTGTCACATGTACAGTAGCAAGCTATCTAAATAGTCCAAGTGAGACCTATTGTACTAGACAGCAATTTAAATACAATGTTCAGCTAATGTAGCAATATTCATTTTGTAAAATAATAATTCTTGACGAATTAAGGTCTCTTTCATCTGCGTTTGGCTTTCAATAAATGGGCACGCACACTATCTCAGTCCAAAGCCCATTACATTCATAAAGATTAATAAGATTAGAATGGGAAGAAATGAGGAAAATGAATGGGACTAAGAGAGGAAATAGTTGATGAAAAATGGGAGACTGTTACTGAGCCGTATTTTAGCGGTGCAGGGAAAAGAGGGGCCTACATCCCCAGCTGGTGTCAGTGATGGAGAGAGTGATTTGTACCAGTGGTGCAACTGGCCCATGTTGGTTTCTGACTAACTTATCCCAAAGGACCCAGTTCTGCTCTTAGTTACCCCAAGAGCAATGCTGAGAGCAGCACTGGGTGACAGCAGGCTTGGGCTCCAGGAGTGAACTTTATCCCCTGCATCACAGTAACAAATGCTGGAGAGTTATTTCATATAACCAAGTCTGCTAACTAGGTACAAGCAAGCCAGGCCTAGCTACATACACGTTGGGCTTTGCCAGCTTGAAGAACATGCAACACAGTGAGCACCACTAGGAGCCCCCCCAGGGTGTTGAGGGAGCTAGCTGGGGTTATTGCAGGGCCCTTGGCACAGCTCTACGAGCGCTCGTGGTGCTCGGGCCAGGTGCCAGATGACTAGAAGATAGCTAACGTGGTCCCCATTTTCAAAAAAGGGAAGAGAGAGGACCCGGGCAACTATAGGCCCATCAGTCTTACCTCTATCCTTGGGAAACTCTTTGAGAAGATCCTCAAGGAGCACATCTGCAATGGGCCAGCTTCAGGGATCATGCTCAAGGGCAACCAGCATGGTTTCATTAGGGGCAGGTCATGTCAGACCAACCTGATTGCCCTTTACGATCAGGTCACAAAAGCATTGGATGCAGGTGTCGCCGCGGAC